TCATGGTGGTTTCATCAGTACCACTGGTCTCAGCAGCCTTCTCAGTCGTACCGCTGGTCTCTGCAGCCTTCTCAGTCGTACCATTGGTGGTCATGGTGCTTTCACCAGTACCGCTGGTCTCAGCAGTACCATCCTTGGTCATGGTGGTTTCATCAGCACCGCTTGTCTCAGCTGCCTCGTCGGTCGTACCATCCGTGGTCATGGTGGTTTCACCAGTATCGCTGGTCTCAGAAGCCTCGTCGGTCGTACCATCGGTGGCCATGGTGGTTTCATCAGTATCGCTGGTCTCAGCAGTCTCCTCAGTCGTACCATCCGTGGTCATGGTGGTTTCATCAGCAGCAGCCTCCTCAGTCGTACCATCCGTGGTCATGGTGGTTTCACCAGTATCGCTGGTCTTAGAAGCCTCGTCGGTCGTACCATCGGTGGCCATGGTGGTTTCATCAGTATCGCTGGTCTCAGAAGCCTCGTCGGTCGTACCATCCGTAGCCATGGTGGTTTCATCAGTATCGCTGGTCTCAGCAGTCTCCTTGGTCGTACCATCCGTGGTCATGGCGGTTTCATCAGTATCGCTGATCTCAGCAGTCTCCTTGGTCGTACCATCCGTGGCCGTTGTGGTTTCATCAGCACCGCTGGTCTCAGCGGCCTCCTCAGTCGTACCATCCGTGGCCGTTGTGGTTTCACCAGTACCGCTTGTCTCAGCAGCCTCTTCGGTCGTACCGCTGGTTTCAGCAGCCTCTTCGGTCGTACTGGTCATGGTGGTTTCATCAGTACCGCTGGTCTCAGCAGCCTCCTCCGTCGTACCGCTGGTCTCAGCAGCCTCTTCGGTCGTACCGGTCGAGCTGGTTTCACCGGTACCGCTTGTCTCAGCAGCCTCGTCGGTCGTACCGCTGGCCTCAGCAGCCTCGCCGGCCGTACTGGCCGTGACATTCGTTTCCAACGCAGTTTGCGTTGTCCCAGTGAAGGACGTGGAGTCATCGTCGCCTTCCGTTTCTTTTGCTTCGGTGGTGCTGCCAGTGTCCACAGTGGAATCTGCCGTTCCTTCGGTATCCTCCGTGCCCGTGCTCGTCGCCATTGCGGTTGCCTGAGTATTCTCTTCACTGATCTCCGCATTTGTTGATGAGTCATTCCTCTCAGCAGTGGTATCCGTGGTATCGCTAGTTGCAGCTGTAGTCTTCTCGGTAGTGGTCGAGTTCTCAGTAGTGGTGGAGTTCTCAGTAGTGGTGGAGTTCTCAGTAGTCGTGGAGTTCTCAGTAGTGGTATCTTCAGTACTCACCCTAGCAGATGTTGTAACTGTAGTCTCCTCGGCCGCGGTAGTCTTCTTGTCAGTGGACTCCTCAGAGGTTGTGTCCTCTTCTGTGGTGGTTATCATAACTGTTTCTGCATCAATGAATCCAGTCGTTCCATCGTCATCCGCGTCGAATCGCGTGCAGTTCACGCCATAGATGTACCAGGACCACTGCTGGCCGATGTAGTCGCCATTAGTGGAAGTAACAGTCACGTAGAAATTCCCGGTTTTGTTGTTCTTCTTTTGGGTGATTTGGTAATCGTCATCAGCCTTCAAAAAGTAGTCAGACTTGGTAGGTGGTCTTCCGATTTGTACGTAGGAAATGAGGTTTTGAGAGTACTGCAAAGTGAGTACTTGCCAAACGTCGCACACTTTTTCTGAGTAGAAGGTTGTGGTCTCGCTCCAATAGGACGAGGTATCGTTGGCCACACGCACTTTGCCCTGTGCCACCTTGGTAACGTTGGCATCGCTTGGATCGACCACTTTGGAGTCCATCCATTTCGCTACGTTGGGTAGGTTATCCTTCAGCATCTTGTAGCTGTTTGCCTTGTCTTTATCACCGGTAGGATACCCCATCATGTCTACATCGGGATTCGAGTAGACGGGCAGCTGGTCGCCGCACATGATGGTGCCGAGGCCAGTCTGTGGCTGCTCATAACCCGTGTTAAGGTCTGGGTACAAGTCCGGGTCGGGGCAATGCTGTAGCCCAAAGTTGTGGCCTAACTCGTGTCGTATCGTGTGGCCGTAAGCAAAACTAACACACGATCCGAATCCGTTGACGTAAGAACGTCCTCTATCACCACCATTCATGATGAAGAAGATGCCCACATCCGCACCCACTTTTTCCCTATACGGCGTCATCAAGCTCTTGACGTTCGGAAGAGTCTGATCTCCTGCACCCATCGAACACTCTTGGTCCGCATCACAATCTAATTGTAAGGAACCCACGTTTCTCACCCTCATATTCGTCAAGCCGCTTGTGTGCAACGCAATCGTCGTTGTTTGCGCGCCATACTCACATACCAACGGCATCCGAGACTCTCCTTTGATAGTCTTAATCACATCAGAATTAAAAGCGCACATCAAATCAATAATAGTCTCGTCGTTCGTGTATGGAGCTAATAAATGTCTTGAGTCATTGTTTCTTGTACCAATCTTCCAGTCGCGACGATTAGGCCGCAGTCTCCTCCTCGTCATCTCGCTAGTCGCGTTTTCTGGTGTGTCAGGTTCGAAACTGTCATCACGACCAGTCCAATCATCCTTCACCAGGGTGACGTTGTCAAATGAACCATAGACAAAGTCACCCTTCAATGAACCAACAACAAAATCTTCCCTAAACACCAGTACAGTGTCTGCTTCCTCTCCTATAACCACACCAAAATTTGGTTCATCATACATGTCCTCCAAGTCGTCTTGTCGGTACCAAGAATACACTGGAGATCGAATGTTCATATACTTCACTAAGTTTTCGTAAGTCAAATCCTCCAAAGATTCCGGCTCCACTCCCGAGAAGCTAACCGGAGCACAGCTACCCAAGCAAGCTAGAGCAATTAAACACTTCATCCCAGCCGTACTTCAACTGTAACGAACAACACAGACTCGAACAACACAGACTCCGTAAGTTGCGTAACTAACAATGTAGCTATCTTGACTAACTAAATGCAAACTTGACGGAACGATACAGTTCCTAAACCAACAAAGCAGCTACTGAAACAACCACTGTAGAAAAGATAAACTTTACTTCCGTGCTGGAGTCTTAACTGAGACAAGCTGTCGCCAGCACATCTCTCCAGCACCAAGGACAGCCTTTGGCGGGATGGCCGCGTTGTTCACGCACTCACAATCGTTCCCGACACACGTGTTCTTTATTTAGATTTGGTGTTCTTGGATGCCAGAGAGACGTTGCGCTACTACATGGTGAGTGTTTTGGGATCATTCCAGTGTGTGTGTGCGCAGCACAGTTGGGTTATAATTTTTCCAGTTTAATACTGGTATCTTCAGGAGTCACTTGATTTTTGCTGACTCCTAATACGTTCACTCATATTCAAGGTAGTTCCATCTATCCCCTAACCTAACATGCCTGACCTGTGCCTGCCTGACTTTGGTAACATGGCCCGACTATGCCAGAGCGCCGGGTCGTAATTGATTTGTATTGCAGCGTTCTGTTCAAGATGGCGTACAGTGCATTTGGCGCCGTGGTGGTATCGTTCCTGGCAGGTTTCGCCACAGTGGTGGGTGCCGGGGTTGCGATTCTGTTTTCGAGACATATGAAGCCGTTGACGTTCGCGATGGCGTTGGCCTTCGCAGCCGGGTGCACACTCACCGTGGCTTTTGCGGACGTGCTGCCTGAGGGGCAGGAAGCGTGGGGCGCCGCCTTGGCGCCGGCTGCGAATGAAGAGGGCGAAGACTCCGACAAGTACTCGGCCCTCGGCCTCTTCGTTATGCTCGCCGGCTGGGTCGTGGCCTCCGGCTTCGACAAAATCCTGCATTTCTCCCTCAACGCATACGACCGGAAATTCCACAACGGCCAGCCCGGGGTCTGTGCACACGGACCCGGCCACAATCATGGCCACAACCACGGCCACAGCCACAGCCACGTGCACCATGACCACGACCACCACCAGTCCGGCGGCGCGGACGAACACGTTTTGGTGATTACGCAGGGCTGCAGCTCAGGAGGACAGAGTCGAGTTGGCAGAGCCGAGTTCCCTACAATTTCCGGAGCGCCGTTGTACAACACAACCACCACCGCGCATGACGCGAGTGCGTACGACCTAAGCGCGTACGATCTGAGTGTGCAGGACCCCCCGAGTGCACACGACTTGAGTGTGCTGCCTTCACACCGAGACTTCGCGGCTGTGGGCGAGGGCTGTGGGCGAGGGCTCTCCTCGCCCGGATGGCTGCAGAGACTGGTGGGGGTATTGTTCGGAACGTCTTCGATCAGTGCGGCTGAACAACGCGCACTGGACGCGGAGTTTACCCGCGACGCTAAGCGAATCACGCGGCTAGGGTATTTTACTGCCTGTGTACTGGCACTGCACAACGTGCCCGAGGGCATTGCGCTGTATGGCACGGCGACGGTTGACAGCAAAGCGGGTGTGGGATTGGCGGTGGCTATTGCGTTGCACAACCTGCCGCAGGGTATGGCGATCGCAGTGCCCATCTACATCGGCCTCGCCAGTGCACCCAAGGCCCTGGCCTTCGCACTCGCTGCCGGACTCGCTCAACCTTTAGGCGGACTCATCGGCTATGGCCTCGTCGGCACCAACCCTTCCGATAAGGTCATGTCCGTCATGCTCCTCCTCACCGCCGGCGTTTTATTCAACGCGAGCCTAAGAGAACTCTACGCCTCAGCCATCCGCTACGACAAAGGCAACCAGGTGGTCGGCGTCTTCATGTTCATCGGCATGCTTGTCATGGCCGCCACTCTCGTCGTACTCGCCTACGTCTGAAAAAGTTTTTGCCTGCCTCCACCGGAGGCCCCGGCTGCAAAGCAAACAATTCGCGCCGCCGGAGGTTCGTACACCGGACGGCGTACGATGTGACTTGGTCTCCGATGTGTACCGACACCCGACGTCTTTCCACAGACCGGGCAAGGAACAGGCTATTTGGCCGGATTCGAAGTAAACGAACAGCGAGTGTTCCGATTTCTTGCTTTGGTTTCTGGAGTTGCTTTTACACCTGTCGACTGCATTGCCTGCCACACACACCCAACCTGGCAAGCCTAGTCGGATCCAGAGGGTTCTCCTGATAGCGTTCAGTCTCTAGGTGCACGCAAGTTGGTCGAAGGAGGCGAAGCTGCTGACAACGACGAGATTGCCGAGGGTGCACCTACTGAGTCTGGAGAAGCTCCCGTCGAACCCAGCGAAGCACTTGAAGATGACGATCTGGAGGGGGAAAATATGGACTGGAGGTCGTGGAGTTGATGCTTTAAGATCGACGTCACGGGAGGTCTCCTTTTTGCGTGATGCACACACCCATTTCGAAAGAGGTGTAGCCGTGCGGTTGGCAGGGATTACCGACCGAGGGTGTGCTGTCCTCGCGGTGGACGCAGATTGTCTGGTTCTGCTCGCCGGAGGTGTTCCCGTCCGAGACGCCCGAGCTCGTACTCTCCCTGCCGCTGCTCGCGTTGTAGTTGGCGGTAATAATCATGTTTATTCCTTTAAAACCCTGTTCTGGGTGCGACCTAGCGAGGCGAGCCGTTTACGTCTTTGCCGACCCAGGGGGTAAAAGGGTAGTTTTGAGACCAGCCGTCACCCGGCGTCGAAAAGATCTACAAGCGAACAACCGTTAGAGCGAAAGTTTAGCATCATGTTCAAGTTCGTCGTTTTGGCTTCCACTGTTGCTTTCGCACAAACTTCTGTCGACTGCGTTGCATACTATACATTGAATCAGGCAAGTCTGGTTGACCCCAGTCAGATCCAGTACTGTGTTGCACAATGCAATGAAATGCCGACTGCTGGTACCTGTCCTGAGGGTTCTCCTGTCACCGATTGCGTGCAGTCTCTGGACGCATGCAAGTTCGTTCAAGGAGGCGAGGCTGTAGACAACGGCGAAGCTGCAGAAAGTGCACCTACTGAGGCTGGAGAAGCTGGTGAAGTCGCACCTAGCGAAGCTGTTGAAGGCGGTGAAGTTGTACCTAGCGAAGCGGCTGAGGGGGGTGAAAGCGCACCCGTTGAACCTAGCGAAGCAGTTGAAGGGGACATTGTGGAGGGGGGAAATACAGACTGGGAGGTTGTGG